GTTGGGAGCAGGTGCCTTGCAGTTCACAGACCCTGCTGAGTGCTGTCGATGACACGCCACATACAGTGGGACGTCTCACTAGGGTCTGTTTTCATTTTTCATCCTGACCTTTGGGCCACTGCTCTGTGTCTTTTATGGAGTTTGTAAACCCCAGGTACACTGTGACCGCTTTGTTTATACAGAGATTTAAAGCGTAAGAAATAAGTGAGCTGTTTGCCTGTCGCTGTTCTGCTCGTGGATGCGGGCTGCCAGCTGGGATTACTTCTGACTGAGGATGTCCGTGAACACTCACCGCGGTGCTGCGACGAAGTCTTTCGGATTTTGGTTGTCTGAAGAGGGCTTTGTTTCTGAAAGATGTTGGCCCTGTGTGTGGAGCCCCCCTGCCCCCAGCCTGTGTTTCTGATGAGAGGTCTGCCGTCACGTTCGTCCATTGTTAAGATTTTCTCTGGGTCACACTCCTGAGCACTTAAGGCAGTGGGTCTGGCGTGTTTTTCTTCAGCTCGTTGAGCCCTTGGATCTGTCTGTGGTTTTGTGGTTTTTGTCAGACATGGTGATTTGCAGCCGCTGTTTTTCCTGAGTCGTTCTGCCTCCTCGGGACAGTAGTTACCACATGCTGGCTCGACTGTCCCCCCTCAGCGAGGCTCGGTCAACCCCTCCCAGCGTCTTCCAAGTGCTAACCTCGAAGTTCGATGGGGGTCATGTTTTATAGCTTCTGCGTCTCCCCTGTGTAAGCGCTGTGGTCCTAGTGACCAGCTCGATGTCTGTCGGCTGATCCGAGGTCTGACTGATTTGCTCATGGCAGGTCTGTTTTTCTGCTCTGAGCCTGCTCATTTTTGTCTGGATGGTGAACGTTCTGAGTTTTACCTTTTTAGTGATGGGTATCTTTATGTTGTAAAAACCATGGACTTTGTTCTGGGACAGTTGTTTGGAAACAGCGTGGTCCTTTCAAGCCTGTGGGTCCAGAGCGGTGCCCACCCCCCCCCCATGGCACCCGTGGGTCCCTAGGCTCCGTCTGTGCCTCTGCCCTCCAGCCTTGGGGACTCCTCTCATGTGCTGATCCCTCCTCTGCTGCGCTGACCACGCACCTGCTCAGGGTGGGGTGGACGATGTCCATGGACAGCAATTGTTTTGCAGCCAAGGTCTCCAGTTGGGGAGCTGGCCATGGTCACACAGGAGGATAGATGTCAGCAACTCTACTGTGGGCCCTCATGAGGTCCAGCCCCCACGCCCACACCACAGCCACTCATACTCATGGCAGTGTCACCCACACCTTGGTCACCTGCACTAACATCAGTCACCCATACCCACAAGGGTCACTGTGGAGCTGGACGTGACCTCGCTGGCTGGCCCTGGGTCCTGGCTTACGGTTGCTCTGTGCAGGTACGTGCAGCACTATGGCCTGGGCGAGGCCTGTGATGACGTGGCAAGTGTGCTGAAGCGTGTGGCCGTGAGGCTGGGCAAGACGCAGAAGGTGAAGGTGCTCACAGGCACAGGTGAGGCGTGGGGCTTGGGGACCAGCCATGAAGCAGGCCTGGCTGTTGAGGGGAGAACATCGTGGGGACATGAGGCTGTCCTGGGAGTGAAGGTTCTTGTCCAGCCTCCATGCCGCAGGCCTGGGCGTGCTGGGTGCGTTGTGCCCACCCCTTCCTCTCCAGCCTCTGTGCCCACCCCTTCCTCTCCAGCCTCTGTGCCCACCCCTTCCTCTCCAGCCTCTGTGCCCACCCCTTCCTCTCCAGCCTCTGTGCCCACCCCTTCCTCTCCAGCCTCTGTGCCCACCCCTTCCTCTCCAGCCTTAGGAGTGTGTCGCTCTGCCTTCTTTCTGAGAGGCCCTGGTGTCCAGGCTCCACAGATGCCCACCTTAGGGTCGCTGTCCCTGAAGGAGGGCTAGGTGGGGTCCCGGGCCCACCCTGTGTGGAGACTCCTTCCTCACCAGACCCTCCTGCTTTCCCCAGGCAACGTGAACGTCATCCAGCCCAACTACCCCGCAGCAGCCCGTGACTTCCTCCGGACCTTCCGCAGCGGGCTGCTGGGCCCCGTGATGCTGGACCGGGACATCCTGCAGAGCTCCCCCCAGGCAGACCCTTGCCTGGCCCTGGGCCCCAGGGACGTGTAGTGTCCAGACCTTCGCATCTGGGTTTTGACACTCGGGGCTCCCTCTCCAGAAGCTCCGTGCCGGTCCCTGTGCACTAAGGTCTCTGCCCCAGGAGGAGGCCGCACCCCTGCTGCTCCACAGCCAGGCCAGCTCCTGGTTCCAGGGACGTGCCTGGGTTCTGGGCGTCAGGGCACTGACATCCCTGAGCCTGACCTGAATGGCGAGGACATTCCCTTGTGCTCACTTCTCGTACGGAGAAGCTGACCTGCTCTGGAAGGAGTGAAGCTATAATCTGTCATTTAAATGTTTTAAACTGAAAGCCTCATCTCTTGTTGGCCCAGTCACTGTGCACCCTCAGCACCTTGGGCACCTGTGTCAGGGCCCCGTCCGCGGGAGAAGTGGGAGACGCGTTGGTAGCAGCCGAGGGCTGTGGTGTCATCCGACGCAGCGCCGTGGGTCCCGCAGTGAGGAGGCGGCGTTGCCAGTACAGTGTTTATTTCACAACACTACTGAATGTGCACACAAACGTGAACAGGAGGTTCCAATACTCGTGGCAGAACCCAAGGACTGGCCTGTCCCCTTGGTACCATGTATTGGCCAGGAGGGTCCCTGGTGTGGTCAGCAGGGATCCAGAGCTTTTGAGCACCTAGCTAATGGGACAGTGGCACTTCCCAGAGGCACCTCCTGGCATTTGTCATTGCACCTGAAGGGGTCCTGGGGACAAGGAAAGGGCAGAGGAAGGATGGGGGGTGGGGTGGGGCAGGTTCTCTGGTCAATAGCTTTAGCTGCTCTGTGTTTGGGGGTGACCTGACCTTGGAGCTGCCAGGACCTCCCTTCCTGAGGTCCCACTACCCGTGTGGGTTTCCCACACCTCACAAACACCCGAGCACCCTCTGCATCCTGCGGAAACCTGAGCTGTGGGGTGAGGTTCAAAGATTCGGGCCCACTCCCGACGCCAGGCGTGCTCCCAGAGTTGGGGATGAAATGAGCTCTTGAGTGCCGTCTCCTCACCTCCAGAGCGGGCTGATGGCTCACCCTGCCCCACGGAGCCTGTCATCTGAGTGCAGCCGGGCTGGGCCCATGTGTCCAGGCCCTTGGGGAGAACAGCTTGCCCCGGGAGCTGAAGGAGCTGTTTTCACAGGTCTCCCTGTGCAAGACGACTTTCCTGTCCCCTGCGCATAAAGTAGCAGGACAGTCACACTGTCTCTGAGGCCCCAGGCAGGGCTTGGCCATGGTCTTTGGTAGCATCGAGCTTGGTCCGGAATGGACAGAGGAGCATCTGGGCTTGCTGCACCCCGAGAATACTGGCAGTGTGGACACAGGAGGCCACTGAGGCTTCATCCTGCTGTTTAGCGCCCTGTTTTTGGAGAAAAACACTCGGTCTGGAGTCCTGTCAAAAGCCTGGAGATGCCCCTGCCTGCCCCACCAGAGCCAGCTGTGGAGAGCAGAGGTGACGGGCTCCCTACGAGGGACTGGTCTCCGCCCTGCTGTCACAGTCCAGAGGCCCCGTGGTCCAGGGGCGAGGGCACATTCTGGGAGTCTCCTGCTGAGCACTGGGAGGGTGAAGTCCCGAGGACCCAGGCCTAGGAAGCTGTCCTGCCTTGGGATGCGGTGGTGGGAGAGCTGGAGGATGTGGAGAGCTGAGGCCCCCGGGGCTGAGCTTGTGTGCCCAAGGGGCTAAGGGTCACCCTTATACGTAGGGCTGTTGGTGCCACAGGCAAACCCTGTGTTTCCTTAGAAGTTCCTTGGCATCAGTCCTGCTCTCAGAACACCTGGGGTGTTTGGACACCCCGAGATGCTGTTGGAGGAGCTCCACCTTCTGGGTGCTTCCTTCTACGAGCAAGGCTCCTGTGTCCGGTGTACGTGCTGGGCCCAGCCATGTCTGCCTTCCTCCAGATGTGGGCTTCCCTAGAGCTCCCAGCCTCCTCCATTTGCACCACAGCCTCACCTTCCGAGGGGGCGCTGCCCGCGGAGGTTGCTGCCGCCTGCCACCTGTGCCCGAACAGCCAGCTGGGTCAGGGAGGGCTCTTCAGTGGGAAGGGCAGTTGCAGCCCCTGAGCACAGGCCAGGGCTCTGGGCCTGGAATGTGAACCTGAAGTTCAAAGGGAATAGAGAGCTCTTGAAGTTTAAACAATGTTTTTCCAACGTAGGTCCCAAGAAGAATGTAGTGACTTGTTTCATGTCAGGGCACTGGCTCCAAGGGAGTCCCTGGCAGTGGGTCTCACAGAGCGTCTGTGTAGAGGGGCACACGGCCAAGGGCCTGAGGGCAGGGCAGCCCCAGCGGGCAGGGGGGTTCTCTTGGGAACCATCCGCAGAGCCAGGACTGGGCATGCCTGGGCTCTGACATCCACAGACAGGGTCAGCACCTCATATTCTCCAGGCTTCAGCTTGTGAGCAAAACTTCTCCCCACCAAATCCTCAGTTCCTTTGGCCCACTCCGGCAGCTTCTGGAGGGGAAGCCACCACAGTCCCCTGCGTGTGCCTCTCTGCCTGGAGGTCAGCACTGTCTGCACCTGTCAGGTGTCCAGGGCGGGTTCGGAGGAGATGGAGTGGACTGGACATCCTGGCCTTGGCACTGGTCTGAGGCAGCTCTGGAGAGAGATGGTAGGCAGCTGGCCAGGATGGTGCAGGAGCCACGGGCACCTGCCTTTCTGGCGGGAAGGCCCCTCACCTATAAATGGTGGGTGGGACATCCTGGAGCTCCTGGTGGGGTGGGAGTGGGTAGGCTCTAGAGGGACTTGGGCAGGGTGGTGAAGAGGTGGCACCTGGCTCACAAGTAGGAGAGGGTGCAGCTCCTGCTGGCAGTGGCAAGAATCACCCAGGCAGCCGCTGGGCTCTGGGGCTCCATGGGCTGCGGCCTTCAGGGAGGGCGCGACGGGGGCCGATTTGTCGCAGGGCCCTGCCGTGGCTAGGGCTGCAGGAGCCCCAGGACGCTGAGGGCGCCGCCAAGCAGCAGGCAGAGGCGCAGACTGCACAGTGGCCTTGCGTCTGACGTCCAGGCGCGGTAGCTGTAGACGCCGGTCCTGTTGCCGCCGGATGCAGTGTCCTCGTCGTCTAGGCCTCTCTCCCAGGGCTCCGGGGCCCTCCTCCAGCCTGCGGACGCTGCCCCCGCCATGCGCAGAGAAGAGGAGCCCGAGTATCGGGGTGCTGGCTTTATGCGCACCCTGGGGACCCCACGTGCGCCCCCGCGCAGCCCTCCACGGGCGCTGCCGCGAGCCCCTCCCCGGCCACCCTTGGTCTCGCCGCTGTCGCAAAGGAAGGTGGCGGCTAGCAGCAAAGCCCAGCACGTCGCTGCCATCCAGTTCATCTCTGTGGGGCAAAACCTGTGGGAAGACAGAGGAGAGGACCTCAGCTTCTGAGGACCAGCAGGCTCTGCGCCTGGGGACGGGGCCCAGGGCCTGTAGTCAGGGACTCCACCTTTTAGAGGCCTGCCCCCTAAGGGCTGGGGTGAACAGGAATGAGGGTTTTGAATGCCCGAGGATTGGGGACTCAGGCCTGAGGATTGGGGACTCAGGCCTGGGGAGGGGGGGCACGTCTTGTTCAGTAACTGGGAAGGGGGGGGGGGGAGAGTTCAGCACCTGGGAGTTATTTTGTGCCCAGGAGGGGAGTGGGGGTAAAGCTGGGGGGTAGTGTGCACCCTGCGGTGGGGTGGAGGGGCCGGGAGGGGGCTCCATATTCTGAGCTGCTCTGGAATGACCCGCCCAGGCCCGCGCTGGGGTGGGGTTGTGTTGGGAGGCTGCAGTCTCAAGGACCAAGGGCCCCCAAGGACCCAGATCGGGGTCTGGAGAAAGGCCCCCATGTGCCTCTGCCTGGCTCTCCCGGACACTTCCCACTGCGTGCAACCGTCGCGGGCCAGAACCGGGAGGAACACGCGGCTGGTGACGCGGGGCAGGCTCCGCCCCCTCAGGCCGGGATCTAGGGGGTGGTCCCCTCCCCCCAACCCCGGCCCCGCGCTCCACCCTTCCGGGACCACCTGTCCCCACAGCCGGGACCGGGACCGGGACCGGGACCCAGGCAAGAGGCAGGCCCGGTTTCCTGGCGCAGCGATCTGGGCGGCGGCTCGACTCTCCTCCTGGGCCCGCGGGTCCCCCCGTGGCGCCTCCTTCCCTGGCCCTGCGGCGCCCACACACCCTTACCCTCTGCCGGCCTCGATCGGAACCGCGGGCTGGGGTGGCCGCTCCAGGGGCTGCGGCCGAGAGGAAAGACGCGGACTGGGGGGAGATCCTTCGCCCAGACGCGGAGCGGTGGAGCCTGGATCCTGAGCGAGATCTCCACCCGAGGATTGGGGCGGGCAGACCCGGAGGCTCGTCCCTTGGGAGACAGGAAGGGAGGGGATAAAGGCAGGCTCCAGGAGCGCGCATCCCCTCCCCTTTCCCAGCACCCCGTCCTCGCTGCACCCCGTCCTCCTCCCCACCTACCGCACCTCCCTCAGCAGCCCCCATCAATTCCGCATTCCCCCCAGGTCTCCATCTCCATCCCCGCCGTGCTCCGTGCCCACATCTGCCTCACTTCATCCCCCTCCTGCACACCCCTCCTCCCCCCATTCCTCATCTTCCCCCCGTCCCAGGTGGATGTCCCCCACACACAAACCACAGAATGCTATGGCACCCTGAGCCCCAGGTCCTGGCGTCCAAGGCCCAACAGTGGCCACGGTGCCAGGACAGCAGGCCCAGGTCTCCGATATGGCCCCCTCCTCCACCTGCAGTGGGTATTGGTTAGATCTCTTGGGGTGGCCTCTTCATGGCAAGGTCACCTGTAACCTGACTGCCTACGCCAACAGGCTTCCCCAGTCGCTCCCTGGTTGGACCCAGGGACCACTTCCTGAAATGATGCTGTCTGGCCTCTGGACCCTCTTCACCTCTCACCTTGGACAGTAGGTCTCCGTCCCAGCCATTCTGCTGGGAGCTTTAGGAGTGGGTGTGGGACCTCGGCAGCTGCACACCTTGTTTATGTGTCTAGCATCTCTCTGCTCCATCAGATCCTATGATCCCAAAGGCTTAGACCCCGCTTCACAAGAGCTCCGAGGCAACCTCACTTCCTCTCAGTTTCAGATGCCAGCTGGGCCAGCAGTGTCTCCTGCCAGACACCCCTGCTGTAACCCAGAGTCAGCCAGCAGGTGAGCTCTCAGCTAAGGGCACTTGGTCTTGAGAGCAGGGACTACTCGGTGACCCCCGTTTGTCCAGAACTTAGCCCCACGTGGGAGTGCCCAGCAAATATTTGCTCAACAGATGAATCAATATTCACCTATAATAACTGTCTGGACAATTTAGAAGAAAACATCATGGGAATAAAAACCAAACTTATTCTTTTAAATTATAACTATTGTTAAGAACTGGTGAGGATGCTCCTTGTATCAGCCTTTCTGGGTGAGGTGGGACAACGAGGTTTCTTGAAACCCTGGCAAGTAAGTGCTGTGAAAAAGAGGTTTGCTGGCCCCAGGTCCCCCGAGTTCCCCTCTCCCGAGACCTGATGGAAATCACAGCAAAGAAATTAACAAGGGCCCTGGCCGGTTTGGCTCAGTGGTTAGAGCGTGGGCCTGTGGATCAGAGTCCCGGGTTCGGTTCCCGCTAAGGGCGCTACCTCAGTTGCAGTTTGTCCCCAGCCCTGGTTGGGGTTGTGTGGGTGGCAACCACTCGATGTGTCTCTCTCACATCCATGTTTCTTTCTCTTCCTCCCTCTCTCCCTCTCACTCTATCTGAAGATAAATGCAAAAAAAAAATTAACAAGGAAAACAGAGGGGCCCTTCGGAGGTTTTCATCAGTTTCTGGCCTGAAGGTGGGTGGAGGGCTGCTTGGGAAAATTGCGGCAGGAACAGAGCCCATGGCGCCTGCTGTGACATGCCATGCGGTTCTTCCCATGCAGGGAGAGAAACCATGTCCTCCCTGTGACTCTGAGACATGAGGCTGAGTGTGGCGTTGGCACACGTGGGACAGAGCCAGAAGGATGGGCAGGACCAAGAGGAAATGGGAGGGGGGTCCTCACCATTTTGAGCTCCTGGATCAGACCGTGCCAGAGCTGACCTCTTAGACCTTATTTAGACATGGGCTTTCTGTCACTTTTAATTAGGAGGCTCTGCAGCCCAGTGGTGGGTTTCTTGCCAAACCCAGGGAATGCCAGGCAGCCATGATCAGACATTCACAGAAAACTGCCACGAGACAGAAAAAGACTAAGGTAAAGAAATAGAAATGCCCCGGCCAGTTTGGCTCAGCAGTTAGAGAATCAGCATGCGGACCAAGCGGGTTCCATTCTGGTCAAGGGCACATACCTCTGTTGTGGTTTGTCCCCGGCCCTGGTCGGGGTCATGCAGGAGGCAACTTGTCGATGTGTCCCTCTCACATCGTGTTTCTCTCTCTCTTGCCCTCTCTGTCCTTTCCTCCCACTCTATCTGAAGATAAATAGAAAAATATCAGCAGGTGAGGATTGGGAAAGAAAGAAAGAAAGAAAGAAAGAAAGAAAGAAAGAAAGAAAGAAAGAAAGAAAGAAAGAAAGAAAGAGAAAAGGAGGGAGAAATGGATCAACAAATTTGAGGAATCGAAGGAAAACTTAAACAGACATTAAAAGAATACCCCAATTCATAGACTCAGAAAGACTGAGGGAGAGGTTATATTTATATAAGAACAGGATGCTGTGAAAAAGGAATCGAGACTAAGGAAGAACCTTTGAGAAAGCATGATTGCAAAAAACAAAAACCAATAGTAGAACTGAATTCAATGTATTCCCTTAAAATTATTACCCCGAGCAGGTCACCTGCTCTCATCATCGTAGTGTCACCAGGAATTGGCAGAGCTGCAGACAAGAAGGAAATGGTGTTGACGGTGCAGCTGACGTTGGGCACTGCTGTCCCCAACCCACAGCGGGGGAGGTCACAGACCAGGCAGAGCCAAGAAAACCTTCAGCACAGTGTATTCTGGGAGAGCTTTATCTCCCCTAAAAAGAGGGGCTATGTGTGCTCACCATTTCTTTCCCTATGTGGATTGTGGACTTGAGCCAAGTGGCTGAATATGCAGGCTGAGCAGATGGGGTGCAAGATGGGTCCCCAGCACATAGGCTGGCTCATGGCCCCTGCACAGCCAACTGCCTGACCTCTTGTCCCTGTTCATTTACAATTGCTACCTGGCTATTCTGTGACTTGTGTATCCTAGACTTGATAAAATAAAGTTTCTTTACCAGAACAAGAAACAGCTAGAAAATATAAAGTAAAGATGCCATTCATAGTAGCAACCCATACTATAACCATCCACAAGGCAAAGGATCTCTATGGCAAAGATAAACCATTCATGACAGAATGTAAGAGATAGGTATAAACAGAGGCATAGATGGGACAGCACACCTTCAGACTGTGATGGTGACCATTCCCCACAATTAATTCATAAATTCAGTGAAATTCCAATAAGAATCTCAGCAGACTTTTTAGAGGGACCCTTTCACCTTTACAGGCTGAATTGTGTCTCCCTCCTCCACCGCCCAGGTCATATACATTGGAGTCCTGACGCCAGCACCCCAGGATGTGGCTGTATTTGGAGTCGGGTCTTTACGGAGGTGGATAAGGTAAAGCCAGATCACCAGGGTGGGCTCCACTCCAGTCTGACTGGTGCCCTTATAAGAAGAGGAGATGAGGACACAGACACACAGGGACAACCATGTGAGGACACAGGGAGAAGGTGGTCGTCGGCACGCCAAGGAGAGAGGCCTCAGAAGCAACTCACCCTGCTCACACCTTGTCTCAGACTTCCAGCCTCAGAATTGAGAGCAAATGGATTTCTGGGGTTACAGCCGCCCAGTCCGTGGTACTTGTTATGGCAGTTTGCACAGACTAATACAGAACTGAAGGGTTTCTAACGTCCATGTGGGGAAACGAAGGTCTGATGTGACTAAGCGTGGAGAAGACCAAAGCAGAGGGACGCGCCCATCAGAGATTAGAAAGCCGCGGTAAGAAGACAAGCCAGTCTTGTCAAGGAACAGAGATCAGAACACGTGAATAAGGGAACAGACTCATGTGGGGACCGCACACATCTACAGGAAGCAAACAAGACTGAGAATTTTGATAGAGAGTAGGAAACTAAGAAACACCAAATAGAAATTTTAGAACTGAAAAAGATACACTTAAAAACACACATTAGCTTTGGCCAGAGAGAATCAGCAACCTGGAAGCTCAGGAGAAAGCACAGAGGAAAAAAGAGAACACAGCCAGCTGCACACCCCGAGGCACACTGCACACTGCCCAGCGTGCATTGCACACCCCGAGGGCACGCTGCACACCCTGAGGTGCACTGCACACTGCCCAGGGTGCACTGCACACTGCACACCGCCCAAGGCACACCACACACTTCACACAGCCCAGGGCACACTGCACACCACCCCAGAGCTCACTGCACACCCTGAGAGCACACCACACGCTGCCCAGGGCACACCACACTCCCCCCCAGGGCACACCACACACCACACACCGCCCAGGGCACACCACACACTGCACACCACCCAGGGTACACCGCACACCCCGAGGGCATGTTGCACACCCTGAGGGCATGCTGCACACCTCCCCAGACCTCACTGCACACCCTGAGGGTACACCTTGTACCCCGAGGGTATGTTGCACACTGCCCAGGGCACACTGCACACTGCTGTTTGCCTCCGCCCATGCTGGAAGGAGAGAAAGACCGAGGCTGATCATTTTCAAAAACTGATGAGCGGAGGCAAGTCATGAATCCCAGAGGCATTGCAGACTCCAAGTGTGACAAATACAAAGGAAACAGACCCTGGAAACCAAACACAAGAAAATCTAAAACACTTCCAGCAGTGAGGGAAACCCAATTACCTAAAAAGAGTGAAAATAAGACCAAGAGCTGACTTACCAACAGGGACAGGTAGCAGCTGGCAAAACAAGAACACAGTTTGTGGAATTCAGCCCAGCATTACAGAGCTGACCATAGAAGTTTAGAGGCTAAGAGGCAACAGATTAATACTTGATGCAGATAAAAATGTACATCATACAAATGCTAATGGAAAGGATTCTGATGTAGCTATATTAATGTCAGACAAAGTAGACTATAAGTCTTACAGATTATGGCAAAAAGCATTACTGGAGGTAAAGTAACACTACTTAATGATGAAAGGTTAAAGCTACCAAGATGATAAAACAATTCTAAATTCACGCTCCTAATGACATAACCTCAAAATATATAAAGCAAAATAGCAAGGAGAAGGTTTTCAGTGCAAAGTCACTTTCATGAATTTAAACTGTTGCCACAAAGCAGCGTGACACACTGCTGACAATGTCTGCATGTCTCCAAGAAGACACACTCAGCATGTACACGGAGCTTCAGTCAGTGTGAGCAAGTGAGAGGCCTTCACCCGACCACACGGTGGCCCAGGGAGCGGGAGACGCTGGATTAGCCCACTTTCTGTCCAAGTGCTAGAGCAGAAAGAAAGGCGGAAAACCCAGGCACGGACATTCACTAGGCCCAGCAAGTTTAAAACAAAATGACATTCTCGTTTCTGGGAAAGATGGCAAGTATGTGGCCGATGGTCACAGGGTCTGAGAACACCACCCGGCTGGGCTCAGGTATGGGGTGTGTAGGGGCCAAGAGGGGCACAGGGGCTGGCTGCCTCAGACGCTGGCCAGATCCCAGGTGGTCAAGGAAGGATGATGGAGGGGGATCTTCCTGTGACTTGGGCACCGAGCTCTTTCTGGGCTGAGGAGCTGTCCCCTGCTCAGGTGCTGATGCTCCCTGTAGAGGTTGGCGTTTCTGTGGCTGGCATTGTGCTCTGGTCGCTCTGTCTCAGGGTGCGGTGGGGAGAGGGAACTGGCCAGCTGCCTGGGCAGGGTGGGGGGCAGCGGCTGTGAGCAGGTGGGAGGAGAGAGATTTGGAAGTTCTCCCTCCTCTAGCTGGTGCTTAGGAAGGCCTGGGGGCCCAGAGGAGTTTGGTCAGGGCCTCCCTGATGTCACGGTTCCGCAGGCAGTAGATGATGGGGTTGAGCAGTGGCGTCACCATCGTGTACACCACAGACACAAGCTTGTTCAGGTGGAAGGAGCTGACAGCATGAGGCCGGGCATACATGAAGATGGTGGTGGCGTAGAAGATGGTCACCACCACCAGGTGGGAGGCGCAGGTGGAGAAGGCCTTCTGGCGGCCGGCCCCTCCTGGGATCCTCAGCACCGTGTCCAGGATGTGGGCGTAGGAGACCATGGTCACCAGCAGGGAGATCAGGAGTACAGACAGGGCTGCCAAAAAGTCCAGCGTTTCGATGGGGGTGATGTCAGAGCAGGACAGCTGCAGGAGGGGTGAGATGTCACAGAAGAAGTGGTTGAGGACGTTGGGGCCACAGAACCTGAGGTGCGAGATGAGCACTATGGACACAAAGGAGGCCAGGAAGCCGCTCATCCAGGCACCAAGGGCCAGGCGCAGGCAGAACCTTGAGTCCATGATGGCCGGGTAGTGCAGGGGGCGACAGATGGCCAGGTACCGGTCACAGGCCATGGTGGACAGGAGGAAGCACTCGGAGGAGGCAAGTGAGAGGAAGAAGAATAGCTGGATGAGGCACCCAGAGAAGGAGATTGTCCCGTCCTGGGCCAGGAGATCAGCCAGCAGCTTGGGGACGGTGACTGAGGTGTAAAGGGTCTCGAGAACCGACAGGTTGGCCAGGAAGAAGTACATGGGTGTGTGCAGTTGACAGCTGGCTCGGACAGTCACAATGATGACCAGGTTCTCCAGGACAGTCACCACGTAGATGGTGAGGAATGACCCGAACAGCAGCCCTTGAAGGTGGTGCAGCTCCGGGAAGCCCAGCAGGATGAACTCTGTCACCAGGGTCTCGGTAGAGTTGCTCACGGCCCTCTCCGGTGGAGAGGTCACTTCTGAGCGCCCTGGAATGGTGGGGAAATACAGGTGTGATGTGTGTTGGGCCAGACCTTCTGCTTCCCTGAGCAAGAAGGCTGGGTCATGACAGCTGTGTGGGTGTCCTGTAACCTCTTCTCTTTAAAAAATAATTTTTTTTTCCTTTATTGATTTTAGAGAGAGGAAGGGAGAGGGAGAGAGAGATAGAAACATTGATGAGGGAGTGTATCAATTGGCTGCCTCCTGCATGCCCCCTCACTGGGGATTGAGCCCACAACCTGGGCATGTGCCCTGACTGGGAATCAAACTGGCAACCTCTTGGTTCATGGCTTGATGCTCAACCACTGAGCCACACCGGCTGGGCATGTAACCTCTTCTTGAAGGGATCTCAAAGTGCTGCAGTACTTAAAAGCCCCCCCCCCCTCAGTCCAACATGCAGTTACCCAGAGCTAACACCTGGCAAAGGGGCCTTGAACCTTGCACCCACCAGTATGTGCAGATACATGCCTGTAACTTGCACACTCACTTAGACACTCTCAGGTGCATACTCTTCCCTGCCCAACACACAGGTAAATGGCCAGGTGTGTGTGTGCATCCCCCCTGCATGCACCCAGGTGCACTGTGCACACAACAGGTGCACACACACACACCACCAGGTGCACACACACATCCCTTCCCCAGGTGGTCACACATTCAGCATAGGGAAGATCCATTTTGCCCAGAAAACCTCCCTGCCCTCATCCATGTCGACACCCAGGGGACTGCACTTTCACGCTGCTGTCTGCCCAGGAACCTCCACCCCGGGGAAGGACGCCACTTCCACCGGGTGGTCCTCTGGCCCTCCAGGCTGAGCGACACCTCCAGGGGATTTGCAGAGCTGGGAGGCTCATCCTCACCTTCCATGTCCCCAAGTGGACAGGGCCTTGGCCAGGTTAAGTAGTATTTATACGTTGTTTTCTCAGCAGCAAAGTGGCGTTTGGGGTCGGGTGGAAGAGGTCCACTCAGAGTCCCTCAGGGGGCCACACAGTGTGGGACTCCTGTGCCAGGACATCCTGGAGCCGGTGTCTGAGGACAGGCAGGCCTGGGGAGCGGCTGCGCTTTCCCGCCGCTCCCGGAGCGACTGGAGCCTCGGGGTCCTTCTCCGCCCTCTCTGTGGGGTGTTGGAGCCCCGCGGGGGCCAAGCTGAAGGCGGAGGGAGATTCCCTTGGACAAGCGTAATTCTCGGTTGCGTCCACGGGCTCCGGGCTCACCCGGGAGGGGCTGCGCTCAGGGGACCGCGCGGCTCCAGACCCTGCCAGAGACGCGGGCTCAGCCCTGCGGGGAGGGGGATACAGGGAGCTCTGCCCCAGAGCTCAGAGCTGGGGTGCGCACAGGGAGCGGATGGGACCGAGCCCTGTCCCCGCTGCACAGGGTCTGGGGCACAGGGGACGGGACCTCGGTCGGAGAGCCAGCTTGGAGCGCAGGGTGCGGGGCTCAGCGCGTCCGGGCAGGGATTCCAGGAGCCGGTGCCCCGCCGCTGGTGCCGCGCAGCCTGGCGGCCGTCCTGGGGACATCCGGGAGGTGCCTTTTGCTTCAAGACCGAGTTCACCACGAGTTCCCCTGCCCTCGCAGAAGGTGCGGGGCCTCGCCAGGCTCTGCGTGTCTCCGCAGGAGAGTCTGGGGGAGATGCGACGCGTGTCATTGGGTTCCTGCTGAGTGGATCCCGCGGCTTTTATCAGGCTTAGGGGTGGCCTTGCCCTCATCCCCTGCGGCTGGAGTCTGGAGGACGCGAATGCTTACCCAGGGGGACTCGGAGCAGCGTGTGGAGGGGCGCTGGCTCTGAGGCCTTTCTAACTCTCCTGGGGGCAAAGGAGGCTTTGCGTGCTACTGGCCCTCCAGGGGCCGAGGATAGGGGTGAGCCTGTCCTGAGACAGCTCCCTCCCCTCCCCATCAAGCCTCCCTGAGATTACACCAGGAGTGCATGCTACCCAGAAGCTTCCAGAAAACCCACTTCATTTTCTTTATTTGTGCAGGGCATTTATTTATTTATAAAATAATGTCATGACCCTTGTACACCTGCTAATGAATGATCTCTGCTCCCTTTTCTCACTATTATCATTAACTCCTTGTTTTGTTACTTTAGTGATTGTTTCAGGGTTAGAATCCCTTTTGACCTGTCTCAGTCTCCCCTCAAGGGCTATTTTTTCTCTGCACTACCAGCGCCATGGAAGTGTGAACGCCCATCTCTGTTCTCGCCTGTGTGTCACTGCCATGCATTCTATTTTCTCATATTGAAGACTCCACAATACATTGCTATTTTTGTTTATACTGATAATTATCTTTTAAACAGACTTAAATAATAAGGAGTATATGTATATTTATCCATGAAATTGCCATAATTCACTGTGCTCTTCATTGCTCTGTATGGGTTCGTGTTTCCATCAGACATCAATTTTTTTCTCCCTGAAATATTTCCTTTACTATTTCACTTAGTGCTGGTCTGCTAGTGTTGCTTTGGTGTGCATGAAAGAGTCTTTTGTTTTTGAAAGATATTTTTCCTGCGAATAGGATTCTAGGTTGACAGTTTTTTTCAGTGCTTAAAGGGTGTTACTCCATTGTTATCTCACTTACATTGTTTCTGACGAGACATCTGCTGTCATATTTATCCTTGTTTCTTTTTGCTCTGGCTGTTTTTAACATTTTCTCTCTATCATTGGTTCTGAGTAAATTGATTATGATGTGCTTTGTGTGTGGTTTCTTGTTTTGGGATTCACTGAGCAACTTGGACTTGTGGGATTATAGTTTTCATCAAAGTTGGCAACATTTTGGCCATTGTTCCTTCAAATATCTTTTCTCTCTCTCCTTTGGGGATTCAGTTACATGTACAGGGTGGGGTAAGTAGGTTTACTGTTGTGAGTATGCAAAACAGTTTATTCTTGTATTATCATTTCTTAATTATTGTATTATTTTCCATATGAACAACTGTAAACCTACTTTTGTTCCACCCTGTATGTTAGTCTCCTGAAGTTTTCCCACCACCTACTGATAGTCTATTAATTTAAGAATTATTCTCTCTCTGCTTAACTTTTAATAATTTCTATTGCTGCCTTAAATATCTCTGATCTTTTCTTCTGCAATCTCTAATCTGCTGGTAATCCCATCCACTATATTTTCAACTCAAATATTGTAGTTTTGTTTCCAGAAGCTTGATTTTGGATCTTTTTCTTTTTTTAAATCCTTACCTGAGGATATTTTTCTATTGATTTATGGATAGAGTGGAAGAGAGGAAGGGGGGAGAGAGAGAAACATCAATGTTAGAGAGACACATTGATTGGTTGCCTCCTGCATGACCCCTACCAGAGCTAGGGATCAAACCTGCAATCCAGCCCTGGCTGGTTTGGCTCAGCGGTTAGAGTATCGGCCTGTGGTCCAGAGAGACCAGGGTTCGGTTCCCGCTAAGGGCACATACCTCGGTTGCAGTTTGTCCCTGGCCCTGGTTGGGTCGTGCGGGTGGCAACCACTCGATGTGTCCCTTTCACATCGATGTTTCTCTCTCTCTCTCCCCCCTTCCCACTCTATCTGAACAAATAATGGAAAAATGTCCTTGGGTAAGGATTAAAAACAAAAACAAAAACAAACCTGCAACCCAGGTACATGCCCTTGACCAGGAATCAAACCCATGACCCTTCTGTTCATGGACCAATGCTTTAACAGCTGAGCCAAACCGGCCAGGGCTGATTTGGGTCTTTTAAAACATTTCCCATATCTTTACTTTATTGTTGGAACATGTGGAATACAGTCATAACAGCTTTTTGAATGTCTTTGACTTCCAATTCAGTTCTGGGTTGGTTTCAATGGACAGATTATCCTTATTATTATGGGTTGTATATTCCTGCCTTTTGCATGATTGATAATCAAACTTCTAGAGACAAAAACTATAAAGACTGATAATTTTTTTTTCATGCCCCTAGCAGAAACCGAACCCGGGACTCTCTTGTCCACAGGCCAACGCTCAACCGCTGAGCCAAACTGGCCAGGGCAAGACTGATAATTTTTTACTGGCTTCGCAACACTGTACGTTTTATCTTGTTAGGTGCTGGGTCTCTTATATTTCTATAAATTTCTGAGCTTTGATCAGGGACAGTTAAGATATTTGGAACCAGTTGATCCCTTCAGGTCTTCCTTGTAGGACTTTTCAGGCAGATCTGGAGCAGTGCTCATCTGGGGCTAATTATTCCTGGACTTAGGCAAGGCTGTCTGTCTGCCTGCCCAGTGCCTGTGGACCACGAGGTTGTGCAGGCTGGCTGGTGGGCAGGCGCTACTCCTGGCCCTGAGCGAGACCAAGGCACAGTTGTTTTTTTTTCTAATCTTTTTGAGATATCCTTTTCTTGAACCCAGAGTTTTCTCACCTGCATGGGATAATCAATACTCTGATGAAGACTTGAGGGCAACCCTCTGCGGGATTCTCTCTTTGTGAAACTCTGCCCAACCTTTTATTTTGTCCTACAAACTTGGTCTCTCATCCCCATGTCCTCAACTTATGGGCTCAGGTTGCCTCGCCTGGCTCCCCTCCCTTTGTGGTGGCTTGAAAGACAATAAGCTGGGACAACTGTAGGTTGCTTCCAGATTTTGGCAATTATGAATAAAGCTGCTATAAACATTCATGTACAGGTTTCTGTGCGGACATAAGTTTTCAACTCTTTTGGGTAAATACCAAGGGGCATGATTGGTAGATTGTATGGTAAGAGTATGTTTAGTTTTTTAAGAAACTACCAAAATGTCTTCCAAAGTGGCCGTACCATTTTACATCCCCACCGGCAATGAATGAGAGTTCCTGATGTTCCACATCTTTGCCAGCATTTGGTGTTGTCAGTGTTTTGGATTTTAGTCATTTTACTAAGTGTGCAATGGTATCTCATGATTGTTTTAATTTTCAGTTCTTTTTTTTTTTTTTTTTTATCCTCACCCAAGGACATTTTTCCATTTTTTGTTCAAATAGAGTGGGAGGGAGAGAGAGGAAGAGAGAGAGAGAGAGAAACATCGATGTGAAGGGACACATCGAGTGGCTGCCACCGCACGACAAACCAGGGCCGAGGACAAACTGCAACCAAGGTACACGCCCTTAGCGGGAACTGAACCCGGGTCTCTCTAGACCACAGGCCGATGCTCTAACCGCTGAGCCAAACTGGCCAGGGCTAATTTTCAGTTCTTAAAATGCATTTTCTTTTTCTTTTCTTTTCTTTTCTTTTCTTTTCTTTTCTTTTCTTTTCTTTTCTTTTTTCTTTCCTTTCCTTTCCTTTTCTTTTCTTTTTAGTTTAATGTATTTTAATAGCAAACTTACAGGAACAGCACAGAAGACAGACAACATTAAAAACATGTAGTTGCGTGTAGGACAACTTAGTTAGAAAAGTATAGTGAATGGATGGAATCTACTGTATGATAAAAATGCTACAAACACCATTTAGTTGCCATTAATAAGAAATTTACTTGTTTTAAAAAATCCAAATGCTGGCATTGTCCAGAAAAATTTAACAGGTTTATTTATATTGTTATAAAGTTGAACTGCTGAAACTTGTTCACTGAAACATTTTGACTTGTAGTAATGCCTTATGTCCCCGCATTTATATTTTAAAAATTCACACACAAATGAAAATGGAAAAACTGCCAATACCTGATTTCTGCCCCCTATTTTCAACTTGCAATCATGTACTTAGGTACTTTTTGACACCGTGGGAAAAAAATATCTAACGTTCAGAACTACCAATAACAGTAAGAAGAGGACTTTTTTTTAAAGAATGAAATGTTTCCCATCATAGTGGATTCTTAAGCACGTTCTCCACGTATGCGGCGTGCTAGCTGGGTGTCTTCTGGCATAATTGTTACACGTTTGGCATGGATAGCACACAGGTTGGTGTCTTCAAAAA